TGTGAAGTAGATTAGTCCATTTCAGACCCCCAAACATACACGTACAAACGCACTTACATAAATACACTTACATAATTGGTCACATTCGGAGGTAATCGTTATGCGGGGGTCCACTGTATTACTATTGTTATTATTAGCAGTAGCAGAAATGTGCAATTCTTTGCTGTGTTCAAGAGTAAACACATGATGTCACCATCCAATACCTGTCCAAATAGCCATTCCAATATGCAGTCATGAAAGGGTTTACATTATTTATACTGTAGTTTAATAACAAATGATAAACAAAACACTCGGCACACAATGGTGGGAGGGCTGGCTGCCAGTTGTGGGGGTCGGAGGGAGGGTAGTAGGGACTCCCAGGTGGTGGGAAACTTAAATATGATTTGGCGGCTGGGAATTTGGCAGCTGGGAGTTTGGCGGTTGGGAATTCGCGAATGTGTGAAGCCCGCGAAAGTTGAAAACGCGAATGTCGAGGGAGACCTGTATTACAGTATACAGTACATTGCTGTATACTGTAAAAATATACTGTTAAAAATATAGCAGAAATGTTATAAATGATGCAAAGGTGACATTAAAACAATATCAAAAAAGGTAGGCACAACCCACTACCATTATACTAGTATGCTTCGCACTTAGCGATGAATTCGTTTACCGATGTAGTCTTAGGAATGGAACTCCATCATTAAGTAAGGAGAGGCTGTAGTGCTTAACCCTTTCATGGTCGCCATGCCCACTCCGAGACTTGTTCTCAGGGTTGCCAAATTAAAAAAAAAAAAAAATTCTTATGAAAAGATAGAGAATCTTTTCCCTATCATAATGACACCAAAAGTATGAAATTTGATGGAAAACTTAGGGAATTATGCTCTTGCGAAGTTAGCGGTCTCGACGATGTTTACGCATCGGCAATTTTTCCCACTTTGAGCACTATTTTCAGCCAATTCCAGTGTACTAGTCGACAAAAATCATAACTATTTCGCTAGAACTCCATTTTTTCTATCGAATGAGTACAAGAAACCACCCATTTACCGATTTCAACTATCCAATAAAGTGGTCAGAATTTAGCAATTTTGCCAATTTCACACAAATTTCAAAAGATGCCAATTTCCGAATTGGGTCCAGAATAAACAAGAAAGACATTCCTGACACTAAAATAACATTTCCTCTGTTCATTAGTCATGTCCCCATGCCCCTCTTACATTCTTTTGCTTTCCACTTTGAATTTTTATTCTTACAAAAAATAGAAGATTTACTGTTATGCAGACTACTGCATTAGTGTAGAAATGGTATAAATAATATCTGCACACTTGTGAAAAAATATTAGACTCGCCAGTTGACATGTATTGGACGTGTAGCATGATTTGTGTACTTTTGAACTTTGGTAAAAATCGAACATTTCTGCTACTTTGAGCTCAATTTCAAGGTACTTTTCATTTTAAAACTAGTCAAAATCATCTCAATTTCTGTAATATGTCTTCCATTCTATAAAATGAGACCAGGAAAACTAGAATACAACAATAAATACCATATGAAAATACAGTGCAAAGTTGCTGTTTTAATCCAAAAACACAGTTTTTTTTTTCTTACTATGCACTGTATGCTGCAGGATTTTTTTTATGCTGCACACACTGACCACATAGGCCCATTCTTTCATATGTAGGCCTACCAGCTTTCACTAGATTTGAGGGCGCTAGAATTTAGGCATACTAGTATGCCAAAAACCCTGGTGCGTAAGACGTACTAGTACGTCCGAAACCCTGAAAGGGTTAACAGTGGTATGGTGCCACACCAAAAATTGTGAAGAGGTTAAAAGTCCTAAATTGAGCTAGAAAAAAAAAAGAGGTTCCACTGTACTGTACTTTTTATCGTTATTCTAGAGTGTATTCTAGAATTGAAACACTGCATACTGTAAAACAGTATGCAGTGCTACGTCGGCAGCAGCCTCATACATCTCTGCCATTTGCACAATGAAATTGCTTAATGACACATGTCTCGGAAGTATCCCCATCGTTAAGCGACACGTGGCTATATTGGGACACCATAAACGTTGATCAGTTAATAGCGGTTATATATTAGTATCCCATAGAGTAAATCCATTTATGACTAAGAATTCAAAATGGAAGGAAAGTGAAATATAGGTGAGACCTGGGGACATTAATGAACAGAGGAAATGTTTTAATGCCAGGAATGTCTACATTGTTTATTTCAGACCATTTTCATTTGGTATTCTTTTTTTTAAATTTGTGTAAAATTGCCAAAATTACTGACTTCTGTATACTTTATAAGTTAGTTGAAATAATTGAACAAGGGGTTTCTTGTGCTCAGTTGATAGAATGAAAGCCATACTAGCGAAATACAGTAGACCATCATTTAACATGGTAGTTGCGTTCCTGAAAATGGCATGTTAGTTAAAACCATGTTGTGATGAATGGTTTGAAAAACCGACAAGTTGAAGATTGAGACACTTATGCAGCATATGGGAATCTTTATTCAGGAAACGTTTCGCCACACAGTGGCTTCATCAGTCCAATACAAAGAGGAAGGCGTAAGGAGAGGAGTAGTATGAGGTAATCAGTCCCTCAGCCTGGAGTCGATGTGTTCAGTCCATCAACTCCAGGCTGAGGGACTGATTACCTCATACTCCTCCTCTCCTTACGCCTTCCTCTTTGTATTGGACTGATGAAGCCACTGTGTGGCGAAACGTTTCCTGAATAAAGATTCCCATATGCTGCATAAGTGTCTCAATCTAAAACCATGTTAGATAAACTGAAGAACTTGTGGGAAAAATAGGGTTACGTTTCTGAGACCCCCCCCCCCATTGTTGTGATATATTGTGTTGTTTTTACTGCTTAAGACTACGAATGTAATAAAAATAATAGTAATTCTTACATTAAATTGTGGGTGCTGGCGTTTGTGGGTGATGAAGAGAGTGGAGAGTTATGCTGTGGCCCTATTGGTCTGAAGTGGATGGCAGAGGTTTTGGTACTGTAGTTGATGGTTGTACTGGAGTGTCTAACTTTGTCATTCAGTCAGTCAAGTCGTTCAGTAAGTCACACAAACTTATGTTTACCTCTTTTTGTGTGTTCAAAGTAACACTTCATTATGGCCACAGGTTATGTCTTGACTAATGTCTTTGTTTATTTCATAAATTCTAAGACTTAAATGTTTATACCTTTTCTTGCCACTTTGAACAACACTGGTATGCCTACTGGGTGTCATGATTGCTTGGCAGATACAAGATATAGTAATTAAAAGATAAAAACACAATTCACAATCACAAGCTTGTAGCAGAGAAGTTGGACTAGACATGTATGAAGTACGAGTGATCCATAACAAAGCGGCCGCTTTGAGGAAAAGGGAAGTTTTTATTTCCTTCCCGCAAACTGAATCGTGTTAAATTAATTTTGCGACGTGTTACATAAAATTGTGCCACAATTCTTCAATTTGTGTTATACCCAGATCATACCAAATAAACTCATGCTAAATGACGGTCTACTGTAGTTAAGAATTTGGTTGCAGGGAGCAAAGGAATTAGCATAAAATAGAACTCAAAGTGGGAGAAATTGCTAGTTCATAAATTGCACCTAGACTGCTTATTTTGTGCCTGTTTAATTAACCTTCAGAAAAAGATTTTCCATTTCAGAAGAATTTTTTTAAAAGTGTACAGTGAGAGCAGTATCATTTTCGTTGGTCTGGACAGTGAAAGGGTTAACCTGTATCTGTGTGGTATATTGGACAGTTTGGTGTATTCCTATATGGAATTTATTTTAGTGATCAATTTTTCAGGAATGCATCTTTTATACTAGGTTTTTATTCTTGTTAAAATTGTTAACCCCTTCAGGGTCCAAGGCCAAAATCTGAAGTGGTGTCCCAGTGTCCAAGAATTTAAAAAAAAAAATTTGTTATTTTTTCTTACGAAATGGTAGAGAATCTTTTTGTGAACGTAATAAAACAAAAAGTACGAAATTTGACGGAAAACTGACAAAATTATGCTCTCGCGAATTTTGATGTGTCAGCGATATTTACGAATCAGCGATTTTGCCGACTTTGACTCCCATTTTAGGCCAATTACATTATTCCAGTTGACCAAATTCTTATCTATTTCACTAGTATTACATCTATTCTATCGATTGAGCACAAGAAATCGCCAAGTCAACTGTTTCAACTACAAAATAAAGTGATCGGAAGTTGGTAATTTGGCCAATTTAACACAAAGTTCAAAATATTCCAATTTTAAAATAAGGTCCAGAATAAAAAATGTAGGTATTCCTGGCACTAAACTAACATTTCCTCTGTTCATTAGTTACGTTTTGAGGCTTTACAAATAAATTCCATTTTGATTTTTTATTCACATAATGAATGTTTATTCACACCAAAAAATAGAAGATTCACTGTTATGCAATATTGTAATAATTGTATAAATATCATCACCACATTTGTGAATGTATATTAGACCCACCAGCTGGCGTGTATTAGACGTGTGAGGTCATTTGTTTACTCTTGAACATCGGCAAAAATTTAACATTTCTGCTACTTTGAGCTCAGTTTCAAGCGGTTTCCAGTGCTAAAACCAATCAAAATCATCTCTATTTCAGTAATATGTCTTCCATTCTATCAAATGAGACCAAGAAATCGCAAATACAACTATAAAAAACATACGAAAAAACACTGCAAAGTCGCTGTTTTAATCGAAAATCATGGTCTCAGTTTTTTTCTCTCATTATACACAGAGTGCTGCAGGATTTGTTTTATGTGGTGCACACATACCATATACATGTATTCTCTCATATCTAGGCCCAAATGTGCCACTCACAGTTTATCAGAGTGAGCTGAGCTCATGACGTAGATCTACGGTTTGGACCCTGAACGTTTAGCCGTAGATCTACGGGATGGACCCTGAAAGGGTTAATTGTTGTGAGGATCTTTTTATGATTTTATGTCAGGAAATACAGTATGTTTAATGAAACAGTAGTTTTTTATTTATATTTATAAACTATTTACAGATATGAAAGCAGACGTCGCTTCTTTGAAGAAGAAGAAAACACTGACAAACGTTCTGATCGGAGAGAGAGGGATCGTCGTTATCAAGAAAGGCGGCGCATGTCTTCACGCAGTGAGGAAGAGGAACAACCTGAATGGTTCACAGGAGGACCCACCAGGTATACAAAATAAATATTAGCACAATTTGAGTACCATACTGTATATATTGAAATTCTGCATAGTTATCACTTGCTGTTAAAACTGAAGTATCCTGCAGTTGTCCAAGAATTCTGCAGAGGAAAAAATCAGATTCTTAACCCCTTACTGTCCATACGTAGATCTACGTTGTTACTGCTAGCACTCCAAACGTAGATCAATGTTTTATTTTTCCTGCCTCCAAATTTGGCACGATTGGCCTGAGATACCTTGTCAGCATAGAATGGGTCTTAACACTGTGTGCACAGTATTAAAAACATCTGGGACCACTTAGTGCCTTGTGGGAGCACCAGTTCAATTGAGCGCCAGCTAGAGCAAACCAGCATGGCAAACAGCAGGGAGTCACTGATGTCATGTCGTATTAACACTCCCCTTTTAAGAGGAAAGTGATGTTGACCACGAGTTTAGTGGTTTTGAGGTGGATGTGGCCACAAGTGATCAAGGAAATATAAAAAAACCTCGATAATAACCCGTGTGCAACATTTGTGCAACATCCTTTCAATTTTGATATCAGTGGTCATGTCATCGTGTCAGAACATCCTATAACCTATGCCCTAAGTAAAGAGAAACAATACAAGAACATGTAATACGGTGTTCGGCAGGCTGGGTGGCTTGCTGATTGGCAGTTTCTATCTGTCTGTCTGTATTTATCTCTATTTCTCTCTGTCTGTCTCACAGGTACACATAAATACAATTATACATACTGTAAATTACCTAGGATAACCCAAAAAATTCAGACAAAGCGCTGTACTGTGCTTGTAGATTTTTTTTTTCAACAAGTCGGCTGTCTCCCACCTAGGCAGGGTGACCCAAAAAGAAAGAAAATCCCTAAAATGAAAATACTTTCATCATCATTCAACACTTTCACCTCACTCATACATTATCACGTTTTTGCAGAAGTGCCCAGATACAACAGCTTAGAAGCATATATAAAGATGAAATATAAAAAGTGACCTGAAATAATATAATAAACTATACAGGTCTCCCTCAACATTTGCGAATGTTGAAAAACCGTGAATGTTTGGTGCCCCAATATATTGTAGGGAAATATATTACAATACTGCTTCCTTAACCTGTTGAACCATGAATAATCATAAAATACATGAAAACGTTGTAAATTGTACTAAATATATACATGTTATGCTTTAATAACGTGTGTTATTTAATAACATGTATGTTAATAACATGTATGTTATTAAATACCACAGACTCCACCAATGCCTCCAGCACTGCGACTCCCTACTACGCTCCCTCCGACCCCCGCAACTGGCAGCCAGCCCTCCCACCACTCGGTGTGGTGAGTGTTTTGTTTGTTCATTATTTGCTATTAAACTACAGAATAAATAATGTAAACCCATTCATGACTGCATATTGGAATGGCTATTAGGAAAGGTATTAGACGGTGACATCATGTGTTTACTCTTGAACACTGCAAAGAATTAAACATTTCTGCTATTGCTAATAATAACAATAGTAATAATAATAATAATAATAATAATAAATACGATATAATTGAATAAGGAAATTGTACAAAAATATGAGGAAGTGGTTGACACATCGTCAGTGTGACTTTGTTTATGCTGGAGTGAACATTAGTCTCCCTGCTCTTCCAAACATTTCACAATAATTCAGCGGTTGAGGCAGTGGTATTTAATAACATATGTTATAAATAATAATAGTACATGTTATTATTAATAACATGTATTATTATTAGCATGTATGTATTTAATAACATGTATGTTATAAATAATAATAGTACATATTATTAATAACATGTATTATTATTAACATGTATGTTATTAAATACCATTGCCTCAATCACTGCCTCTACCACTCCAGTCACACTCAATCTACAAGCACCAAACACAACGAATTATTGTGAAATGTTTGGAAGAGCAGGGAGACTAATGTTCACTCCAGCATAAACAAAGTCACACTGACGATGTGTCAACCACTCCCTCGTATTTTTGTACAATTTCCTTCTTCAATTATATCATATTTGTTGTTGTTGTTTGTTGTTGTTGTTTGTTGTTGTTGTTTTTGTTGTTGTTTTTGTTGTTTTTGTTGTTTTGTTTTGTTGTTGTTGTTATTGTTGTTGTTGTTGTTGTTAACTGTAGCAGAAATGTTTAATTCTTTGCAGTGTTCAAGAGTAAACACATGTCACCGTCCAATACCTGTCCGAATAGCCATTTCAATATGCAGTCATGAATGTGTTTACATTATTTTTTATGTGTTTAATACAAATATGAACAAAAAAACACTCACCCACTGAGTGGGGGAGGGGGCTCCCCATTGCGGGGGTCGAGGGAGCGTATGGGACCGCAGGGGCGGGAAACTTAAATATGATTTGGCGGGGGGAAATTTGGTGGCTGGGAATTTGGCGGGGGGAATTTGGGGGTAAAATTCGCGAAGAGTGAAGCCCGTGAATGTTGAGGGAGACCAAATTTTAAAATTTAGAGTAAAAATCGGGGCCCCCAATTTTATAATATATATATATATTTATATTATAAATATATTAATATTATATATATATATATTATATATATATATTATATTATATATATATTTTTTATATATATATATATATATATATATAATAATATATAATATATATAATATATATATAATATATATATATATATTTATATTTTTTTTTTTTTTTTTTTTTTTTTTCAACAAGGGGGCCGTCCCCACCGGGGGGGGGGGCCCCAAAAAAGAAAGAAAACCCCCAAAAAAAAATATTTTATCATATCAAACTTTCACCCACCGCACATTATCACTGTTTTCAGAGTGCTCAGAATACAACAGTCTAAACATAAAATATAAAATACAAAAATATCCCTCCAAACTGCCAAACCCCAAACCCCCTCCTTTAAAGTGCAGGCATTGTACTTCCTTTTCCAGGACTCAAGTCCACTATATGAAAAAAAAAGGGTTTTCCCTGATCCCTTCCTAAATATTACCCTGCCAACTCCAAAGATCGTCGGGCCCCAAGTACCATTCGTCCCATTCACTCCTATCTAAACGCCACGCACGCTTGCGGGGAAACCAAGCCCCTTACCCACAAAACCCTCCTTTACCCCCTCTCCAACCCTTTCGGGGACGCCCCTACCCCCCCTTTCCCTTCCCCCTATAATTTTATGTTTTCCTGTATTCTACTGTGTCCATTCTCTCTAATGACCAACCACCTCAACAACCCCTTTTCTGCCCCTGACTAATTTTTATTAACCCACCCTTCCCCAAATTTTCCCACACCCCGTTTTTTCTGCATAATATTTCCCAAAAAATTCCCCTTAAACGGAATCTCCGCTGCCTCAACCCGTCCCCTCGCGCTGATTTACCCCCCAAGCTTCCACCCTAAAAGAGTGTTGGTATACTATACTTTATCTTCCCTTTTTTGCCTCCAAAATAACGTTTTTTGACCCACAATACCTAACGCACCATCCCCTTTTTTTTCCCTCATCAATTCTATATTAACCTCATCCTTCTAAACCCCATCCGCCGACACGTCAATCCCAAGTATCTGAAAACATTACTTCTTCCATACTCCTCCCCCCCTTTTTGATATAAATTTTTCTTTATCTAATCATTTGACCCCCTCATCCCCCTTACCTTTTTCTATGTTCATTTCAATTTCTACCTTTACAACATTCCCAAATATCCACTAACCTTTGCAAAAATTTTCTTTAGAATCTCCCATAAGCACAGTATCTCAGCAAAAAGTAAAATGTGTCAATTCCTTTTGAATTTGATTCCCATAAATTTTAAACCCCCCCCTCTCCAAAAAAAACCCCACATTTACTTCTTTACAACCCCATCTTAAATATATTAAAAAAACCATGGTGCATTACACATCCCCCGTCTAAGACCTACTTTTACCGGGAAGTAGTCTCCCTTCTTCCACACCCTAAAACCGGCCTCACTATCCTCATAAAAACTCTTTTTCAAACATTTAATAACTTTCCCCTATTCCAATATTGCAAATCTCCACATTGCTCCTCTATCCACTCTATCAATGCCTTTTCTAAAAACATAAATGAATAAAAAATTTCCCCACTTTATCTAAATATGTTACATATATGCTTTAATGTAAAACACCCGATCTACACTCCCCTACCCCTTTTAAAACCCCCTTGCCATCCCAATCCTCATTCTTTCTTACCTCAATTCTTTCAAATTTTAACCCTACCGTACACTTTTCTGGTATACTCAAAGCTTTTTCCCCCTATAATTTTTACAGTCTTTTTGTCCCCCTTTTCCCTTTTTATAAAGGGGCATACATGCTCCCTTTCCAATCCCTAGGTACCTTTCCCCTTTTCAACATTTATTTAAAAAAAAAATACCAAAACCCCTCCAAAACCCTTTTTCCCCCCCGCTTTTAACATTTTTGCTGATCCCCTCAGTTCCCGCTGCTTTACCCCCTTTCATTTTTGTAATGCCTCACGTACCCCCCCCAACTTTTCTTCTGCTCTTCTTCATCCAAAAGATGGTTATCCCTGACCGTGATGAAATTACTGCCTCTGTTTTTTTCCTTAACTTTAAAAATTCCTCAAAATTTCTGCCATTACCCAATACCTCCAACCCCACTACTAACTCCCCTACTCGTTTTTTCTGGGCAATCCCTATTTTCCCTGGCTTTCTTAACTTGTTTAACTCACTCCAAAATTTTTTCTTATTTTTATTAAATTTCTTACAGTGCCCCTCCACCTTCATCTGCTCTCCCTTTTCACTCTTCACCCCTCTCTTTCTAAATATATATATATATTTATTAATATATATAAATTTTTATATATATATAAAATTATATATATATATATATATATATATTATATAATTTATTATTCATATAATATATTCTCTCTGTACTAGTTCCAAATTTACCACCAAGCTTATTGGTTTAGCTGAGCTCTGGTGTTTTTTATGGGCCCAACCTGGCTTAAAGCCTTATAAAATGGGGCCGACACCCAAAGGGGTTAAAAATTTTTAGTAGGCACTAACTTCCCCCCTCCAGAAACTCAGTAAGCTAAGGTTTTTACTGAAAGAAATCAGTGGTTTCTTCTTTGGGAAAATGGTTTTGTGGACTAGTTTTTTAAAGGGGAAAGTGTGTCTGCACTTTGAGGAAGGGGGGAAAGGGCAGTTTGGAGAGAAAGTTGAATTGTGATGTTGATGTACTTCTGGCAAGACAGCTATTGAATGAATAAATGATGTTTCCTTCTTTGGGTGATCCTGCCTAGTTAAAAAAAATTAACCTAGGAAAATATCTTCATCAGTGTGTACTAAGATTGACTTCTTGATTGCCCTAATGTAATTTAACAGAAATTCTAAGCAATTGCCTGCCTTGCTTTAATTAACATAAAATCCATCTTTTACAGCCAGAATGAATACATTGAGCTAGTTGGCTTTGATGACATCCCAGAAGAAGGAAATATGTCTAAACCACAAAGTAAGAGAGAACGGCGCCGCTCAAAAAAGGATAGAGATGGTAAGTTTAATTGCAAGAATAGCAAAATAAGCTTGCTGTATGGTTTATTTCTAAACAAAGTTTATGATTTTTAAATTTATTGCTACACTTATGTGGCATCAAAAAAGATATTTGTAATGTTGCTTAAAAAAAAGCTGTGTAACACACACACATCTCTGTTACTTATAATTCTTCGTTAGTGAGAACTTTTTAAAGGTTTGGTCTCTGATGTGGTTTAAATACTTAAGAAAATTGTGTGGTTACTTCCAAATAAGAGTAGATGCTTTAAAGAATTTTAGTATTAATTGTGGTACTAATGGTAATGCACAATCTGTGTTGCATGGTTTTGACAAACAGTGAGAAAATATAGAAATTCAAGGTGAGTGAATTAGTGTGAGGAAGACTAAGAGTGAAGTGATACTGCACCCAGTAATCGACACAAATGGTGACCATTTTGAAACTCGTGTTCTCTTGTTTGATATAATGCCAGTCTAATTCCCTTTCTTCATTTATAGTCAACCCTTGCTTTGTAAGCAGTTAAATGGGTGTTTTACAAGTTAAATTCATTCATGGTTCACCTATAGACATGTAGTGTGCCTGTGGACAGTTCTGGGGGGATCACTGTCCCAGTAGCCTGGTCTTAAACCAGGGCTTGTTGATGTTAACTACAAGCAGTCCAAAGTAGGTACCAAAGCCTGACTGATTACGAACTGACAGGTAATTGTTGTCAATTTTCCTTCTGTTTGAAGGGGTGGGTATTGAAAAGTCTTTTTCTGTACTTATTGAATTACCTTTTAATATGCTCAAGGCACTCCTCTTTTTTCATTGGGATATTTTGCACTACTGTGAGCCTCTTGGCTTTGGTAGGGAGTGATTTTGGTGTGCTGATTTGGGTCAGTCCTAGAGTCTTTCAGGTGTAAATTAGTGAATCTATCTTGGTTATGTTCCAGGGATTACCCTTCATGGTGCTTTAGGTTTTCCCAATAATTTAGGTTACTGACTGAATTCATACAGCACATGACTGGAATATTCCTATAAATTCAGTGAGCTCATCCTCTCTAGGCACTGTTATAAATCCATGTTACTCGTACTTTTTTCTCAGCACGTTTCATGGGCTATCTGGTCCCAGTTAATGTATTTATTATTAAAATTAAATTTGTTGAATACACCCACGTCAGTGTTTGGCTGCTCAGGTTCAGTGTGTTAAGTTTGGCACTGTTCAGTACCAGATTCTTATTTCTGAATACAAGGTTAAATGCATTTTTTCTAATTGGTCGGTTCCACTGTGTACTGGGGATCTACTCCATCATATGGCCTAAAACCAATAATAACTCGTCAAAAAGTCACTGTATGAATGCTTATCCAGTCCAGGGCTAGACAGCACATACCCATCACTCTTCAAAAGTTAAAACTTGGTCAGTATACATAGTATGCATTCATTCTATTGTGCTTACTAAATACTGTATGTACAAGAAAATAAATTACAATATAAACCATCCTCTGAAACTCTTCTTTGATAGCTGACAAAGAACTAAAGATATAATGCAGGACACAAAAGCCTTTTTGATATCCTGTGTGTCTGACTTGACCTGTATAAAATCTTAATGCACATAAAAGGCCCTAAAATCTGAAAAAAAAAAAAACTGCCTGAAGTCTCTAAAGGTCTTCTGTTTGCCAGTCTCTCCAAAACTATCGTTAAAAAGCATCTCGTCTCCTTGATATACTCCATACAGCAATTTCCTTCTCTTACATAAGAACATAAGAATGGAGGAACACTGCAGAAGGCCTACTGGCCCATGCAAGGCAGGTCCTTATCAAAACGACCTCTACCCAAAGCTACCCAAGAATTTACTCCCGTACCCAATGACACCAATCGAACCCAGCCCCTCCCACTCATATATTTGTCCAGTCTCTCTTTAAAGCTACCCAAGGTCTTAGCTTTGATCACGCTACTGGGAAGATTGTTCCACGCATCTACAACTCTGTTAAAAACCAGTACTTACCTGTGTCCTTTCTAAATTAAATTTTTCCAACTTAAATCCATTATTTCTGGTTCTTACCTGGTTCAACACCCTCAGTACTTTATTAACCCTTAAATGGTCCAAACGTATATATACGTTCACCTGTGCAGCGCCCCGAATATTTTGAGAAAAAAAAAACAATCGTTTTTTTTATAGGAAAAAAGAGCATGTGGTACCCAGGCATCCCCAATTTTTTTCATATGGCACACAGAGTGCGCACACCCATTCTCTCATGTCTTGGCGACTCAGGCCTATCGTGCCAATGTTGAATAAATGAAAAATGAAACGTATATATACGTTTGGGGTGCTACGTGAGAGAATGTACATATATATTTGGACCGTTTAAAGGTTAGTATATCCTTTGTTTATACCTGTCATCCACTTATACACCTCAGTGATATCTCCCCTCATGCTACGTCTCTCCAGGGAGTGGAGATTTAAGGCTTTAAGTCTATCTTCATATGGGAGATTCCTTACACAGTAAATCATTTTAGTCATTCTTCTCTGTATGTTCTCCAATGAGTCTATATCCATCCTGTAGTAAGGAGACCAAAACTGAGTGGCATAATCCAAATGAGCCCTCACTAGTGAGGTAGAGAGCTGTAAAATAACTTTTGGACTTCTGTTACTTATACTTCTAGAGATAAATCCTAGTAATCTGTTAGCCTTGTTGTGCACACTAAGGCACTGCTGGCTTGACTTTAGATTTCTGCTTACCATGACACCCAAGTCTTTCTCACATTCTGTATGATCAAGCTCTACTTCACCTAGTTTATAGCTTCGAGGGTTATTTTCATTACCAAGGACTAGTACCTTACAGTTATCCACAGTGAACTTCATCTGCCATTTTTCAGACCAAGACATTAATTTGTCCAAATCATCCTGGAGTTCATTGCTATCCTCCTCAGAATGAATTATACGGCCTATCTTTATATCATCAGCAAATTTACTCATGTCACTCGTAATCCCTTCATCAAGGTCATTAGTGTAAATTATGAACAAGAGAGGGACTAAAACTGATCATTGTGGAATGCCACTAGTGACTAATCCCCATTCAGATTTCACCCTGTTATTGGAAACTTTCTGCTTTCTATTGGTAAGCCATGTCTCTATCCATGCTGGAACTTTACCTCCTATACCATGAGCTGCCACTTTTCTTAAGAGTCTCTCGTGAGGTACTCTATCGAAGGCTTTACTAAAATCCAAATAAACAATATCATATTCTTTATCACTGTCCACTGCCTCAAATGTTCTATTGAAGAACGTCAGTAAATTTGTCAGGCAGGAACCTCTCATGAGCCCATGCTGTGATTCATTAATCAAATAATGCTCTTCAAGGTGACTTCTAAAAATGTCAGCTATAATCTCCTCCCTCCTCCTCCTCCCTCCTACTCCTCCCTCCTACTCCTCCTCCCTCCTACTCCTCCTCCCTCCTACTCCTCCTCCCTCCTACTCCTCCTCCCTCCTACTCCTCCTCCCTCCTACTCCTCCTCCCTCCTACTCCTCCTCCCCACTACTCCTCCTCCCTCCTACTCCTCCTCCCTCCTACTCCTCCTCCCTCCTACTCCTCCTCCCTCCTACTCCTCCTCCCTCCTACTCCTCCTCCCTCCTACTCCTCCTCCCTCCTACTCCTCCTCCCTCCTACTCCTCCTCCCTCCTACTCCTCCTCCCTCCTACTCCTCCTCCCTCCTACTCCTCTCCCTCCTACTCCTTCTCCCTCCTACTCCTCCTCCCTCCTACTCCTCCTCCTCCTACTCCTCCTCCCTCCTACTCCTCCTCCCTCCTACTCCTCCTCCCTCCTACTCCTCCTCCCTCCTACTCCTCCTCCCTCCTACTCCTCCACCCTCCTACTCCTCCTCCCTCCTCCTCCTCCTCCTCCCTCCTCCTCCTCCTCCCTCCTCCACTCCCTCCTCCTCCTCCTCCCTCCTCCACTCCCTCCCTCCTCCCTCCTCCCTCCTCTCCCTCCTCCCTCCTTCTCCCTCCTCCCTCCTCCCTCCCTCCTCCTCCTCCCTCTCCCCCTCCTCCCTCCTCCCCTCCTCCCTCCTCCCCCTCCTCCCCTCCTCCCTCTCCTCCTCCTCCCTCTCCTCCTCCTCCTCCCTCTCCTCCTCCTCCTCCCTCTCCTCCTGGCTCCCTCCTTCCCTCTCCTCCCTCTCCTCCTCCTCCTGCCTTTCCTCCTCCTCCTCTGGAAATAATGGTATAAAATACCGACACAATGGAAATATAAACACAAATGCATTAGTGTGTGATCCTTATTGACTACGTTTCGCCCACACAGTGGCTTTTTTCAAGTCACAAACAGAACTACCTGGGGTGAAGGAACGCGAGTATTTATAGTCCGGTTCAGAATGCTGAGGTCAGGTGAAGATCTGCATCTGATGTGTACCGAGTGGGTTATAGAGTCTAAAAACTTGGGTAGCTGGAAAGGAGATTGGATAAGTTTGTGAGCAGACCTTCTACAGTGTTCTTATGTGGGATAGCGATGAAGAAAGTTTCTTGGCAAGTGGTTCAGCTATGTTATAGAAGCCACTATTCTGGTTGAAGTTGTCGGATATAGAAATAAGTGATGATTCCAGGATTCTTCGGTATTGAGTGTTGTCTTCTGTGGCGATAAGTCTTGAGTTTCTGTAGTTTATCAAGTGGTTGTGTGAATTACGGTGTTGTACGCAGGCATTCCTTGTGTCGTCAGACCTGCTTGCGTATTGGTGTTCTGAAATACGTGTTTGGAGGTCCCTTGATGTTTCGCCCACGTATAACTTGTTGCAGTCATTACAAGGGATTATGTATACCCCTGCAGAGGATGGAGGCTTGTCCTGTCTACTACTGGTGATGTCCTTGATGGTCGTGGTTGTGGAGGTAGATACTTGGAATGATGTTTTGGCAAAGATGTTGGAAACATGTTTGGCAATGGAGTTGGTGGGAAGGACTATATCTCTTCTCGGCAGTGTCTTCTCTGGGTGTGTTGAAGATGTTTAATGCCCGCCGTCTGCAGTCTCTGATGAA